GTTCCCCTCGCGGCATACAAGGGCTCATGGCCGTGCCCGCCGAGCGGCTTCCGCTTCCGGTGGGGCGATGCTGCGCGGCTGGCGGGGCGCGGCGGCCGCCTGCGCGAGGCGCCTGAGCGGCCCCGGCCGCGGCCCGCCCATGGCGAAGAGCAAGTTCGAGTACGTGCGCGGCTTCGAGGCGGACGACGCGCTCCTGCCCAACTGCTGGATCGTGGTCCGCCTGGACGGGCGCAACTTCCACCGGTAGCGCCGCGCGGGCGGCCGGGGGCGCGCGTGGAGACGCCTCGGGGAGGAGCGGGCCGGGCGGAGCGGGGAGAAGGAGGGGGTCAGGGAGGCGTTTTGGGGAGCGGGGGGTGCTYGGACCCAGGAGGAGGCGAGGGAAGCCCTGCGGCTGCTGCCCGGAGTGCTGGTGGAGGGGTCGTGTCTGTGCGAGAGCCGCCTCTCCTCCAGGTAGGTGGGTCGGTTCCTTAGWGTGGGGCTTCGGCTTCTGAAAGTTGCGCTTCCAGATGGTGCTTTGCTGCAGTCTGAAGCCTCCGGGGTTTCAGCAACTGACTGAGATGTTGGGCAGAGTGTGAAAGGCCCCTAGTGCAGAGTGAGGCTGCAAGAAATGCTACTTGTCACCCTCTTATTCCAAGTAAAATAGGGAAAGTGGATATTTTGAAGGCTTGTCAAATAGTTAGGACGGGATATTGATTCTCAGAGTGGGTTATCTGGGGTGTACGAGCACAGTTTGTTACTGTTGTTTATTCCAGGTGGGAATTCTCTGTCAGTAATGAAGCCTACCCAAAATAAATACTCATGGGAAGTACGTGTGAGGAAAACTATTGGGTTGGCATTTTTGAGTAGCTTTTTAAAGGATTCTTCTTCAACCATTTTTGCTTTGTAGGTTTGCTGAGCAACACGAGTTCAAAAAACCAAATGATGATCGTGCCCTTCATCTGATGACCAAGTGTGCCCAGACAGTGATGCAAGAGCTGGAGGATATTGCTATTGCTTATGGACAAAGCGATGAGTACAGCTTTGTTTTCAAAAAGAAGAGTAAATGGTTTAAAAGAAGAGCAAGGTAATGGCTGCTTTGATGCTAAGTATTCACTTTTAATCTCTCTCTCTCTCTCTCTCTCTAAACTTGGAATTTATTGCTTCCTTGTATTTGACTTTACCTTTATGCAGAGGGTATGAGTAGGACTGTATTTGGGTGCATACACTGCAAATTGGCTGAAAAGTTCTTCATATGAACTCCTTGCATGTTATCTTTGTGGAATATATGTTCACTGATACAGGATTTCAGAAAACATTTGATTAAATGTATTAAAAAAAAAAAAAGCCCTTTCCAGACTCTTACATGATTCTCAATACTTCCTACCTTTCAAAAGACTCAGTGCTATTGCTGATCTGTGGAGATATTGCCATCTCCCTAAATTACTGCTGTTGATAACCCAGGTGATCACTGTATAATCTTACTAATGTATTGCTTTCTTTTTCTTTTTGCCATGTGTTTGCAAGTAAGTTCATGACTCATGTGGTCTCCCAGTTTGCCTCAAGTTACGTTTTCTATTGGAAGGATTACTTCAAGGACCAGCAACTTCTATATCCACCAGGATTTGATGGACGAATAGTTTTGTATCCCAGCGATCAAAATTTAAAGGACTACCTCAGTTGGAGACAAGCAGATTGTAAGCATTAGAAAAGGGAAAACATGCAGACATTTGTACAGTTGAGTACAAACAAAAGTTGCCTTTTTTTTCCTGAGTATTCAGATTTGGTAAATGCTTTCTCCTCTTTTTCCTTAGGCCATATCAATAACCTTTATAATACAGTGTTTTGGATGCTTGTACAACGAAGTGGTTTGACACCAGTACAAGCACAGGACAGACTTCAGGTAAGAATCTTTTAAGATATGTTCTAAGTACAAACAGAACCACACATTTGCTGAGCTGTGTCTTGCCTGCCCAGTAGCCCTGGCTCTCTTTTGTGCTCTTAATGTAATAATTTCATGAGGCCATATTCAACAACTCCCTCTTCATTTGTGCGGATGCTAATATATTTAGCTTATGGCATTTTAGGTAAATGTTAATAGAATTTTCATTTCTTAATTAGTTCAAGAATTTTAAATGCATTAAGCAAATATCCATTATCTTTGAAAAAGAAATAAAATGGGAGCATTCGGACGCTATTGAGTGCTAGATCCTTCTATAGAATTCTGACTGATTTGTGCAGACTTAAGCATATTATATATGTGTTCACTTAGATTCTGTTAACTTTTACTACTCTTTTGGAAAAAAAAAAGATATATAACCTGAAAGAGATTGTCTTTTAGCATTGCTATTTGGCAGTTGGAAAAAGTTTCTTTGTTTAGAGAAGTAATTGCACCTGTAAYTTAAAAGTAAAAAAGCATGTATAAATGCCAGTCTTATTCTCAATATTTACCTATCATTTGTGTTAAAGATCCCATTTGCTTTTATTTTTTTTTTTTCTATAAGGGTACTTTTCTTTTTCTGTCAGGGAACTTTGGCAGGAGATAAGAATGAAATTTTATTTTCTGAATTCAACATCAACTACAACAATGAGCCTTTGATGTACAGAAAAGGAACTGTCCTAATATGGCAGAAGGTAAAAAATTATATTAGCACTGGCTTCATGCTCATGTTTTAAACAGTTCACTATGGYGGATAAACTATACTGTAAAAACTCCAAATTTGAAGTAAAGCTCTATGGACATAATCTTTAACTTGTAAAATTAATGACATTTTTCCATATAATGGTAAATGGTATGGAATAGTATGTATGATAGTATGTAAGATAGTTATTTTAGAAGTGTTTCTTGGGTATTTATTCATGAGTATAGTATAAAAACTGCTCTCTAAATTGTGGTTACACAGAAATTATAACCACTGATATATGTACATTGTCATCTGTTATATATGCTTTATGTAAAATTTCACAAGACTGGCAAAAYTGTGTGCAAATTAGTCACTGTTGAGAGTCTCTGTAATTTATTCAGCTTTGTGGTTTCTACGTGTCGAAAATTTTTAGAATCCTTTTTTTATGGCTAGTGATTTTTCTTATTTCATTTGAAACTAATTGGAAGAGATAGAAGCTCCAACCTGGAAATATATTCGACTATTCCTTGTATGTGCRTTTTTTTGATAATGGTTGGCCATTTTCAAGGTTTTTCCATATGCTTTAAATGGCTCCAGTCTGAATACTGTATTTTATTCAAGAGTACTGGCAAGAATACATGAATTTGCAGTTGATTTCTTCAAGCCCTGTGATGATAATACATGATTTGAATTAATAACCAGTAGAACAGCATTACGAAATAGATTCCCTTTCAAAAAATGCAGTATTCAATTTATGTAGTACGTCTAGGGATAATGGTTACTTTTGTTATAGCTTTTTGCCTTGTTCATTTATGAAAGCTAACTGAAGTCTTACATGTCTAATAATGTGTCAACTGTCTTTTCAGGTAAATGAAGTCATAACAAAGAAAATAAAACTGCCAAAGGAAACAGAAGAGAAGGAAGTTGAAGTGACCCGAACTAGGACTAAAGTTGTTCCTCTGCACTGTGACATTATAGGGGACCAGTTCTGGGAGGAATATCCTGAGATTCTGGCTGAGGATAGTTGATTTCTGCTGCAAGTGTATTTGGCAGTTTACATTTTGCTCTGCTAGGGTTATTACAAAGTGAGGACTATGGATTGTGGCTGGCAAAGTTTAACTTGCCACCCTCTTCAACAACTATGTTGTTTTGGCACTGTTGTTGCTGGAGAAATAGAAACTGGTCTCTTGTTTGACATACAAAGATATGTCCTGCTGGGAAAGGTAAAATCATTGTATTTTGAATGCTAGTAACTCATTATAAATTAAAAGACTGCTCCTTGTAAATGCATATTTTTACAAAGAGTATAGAAATTTTATGCATTTCTGTAGTATTCTTTAAGTCACAGGATGCTGCATTGAACTGCCACATCACTTAAAAGGYTATGTATTTGAACAGTTAAAAACTGAGGGGAAAAATCATTATGAAACAGACCAGAATACTGCAGTTGGTAATAAATTTCAAAGCCAGTGTGTATAGTCAGTTTAGTGGCAATTGTGCTACTAATGTCTCTTGCCCTTACAAAAAAGAACTAGTGTAGCCTGTGGGTTTCCTGCAACTAATTTTGAAAAGCATTTGTCAACTGTACAGAATTTTTATATGCTTTTAAAGATTAAAAAAAAAAATTCTTCCCTACTGTGTTTATGATTTGGACTTTTTCATTTGTGGTAGCTTTTACTGGTAATTAGCAAGCTTTCAAATAATTAAGCTAGTAATAATGATACTGTACAGACTTAAATTCTGTCAGGACATGGGTAAATATTCTGCTGTCATTTTTCTGTGGTCTGGAAAACCATCTGCCTCTTACTATGCAGAAAACTGAGGAGTAGCAACACAGAAAAACACTGACGGTGCTGGCACAGAGGGTGCTGGCAAGAATTTGTGGTGGTGGCCTCTAATTCTGTTATGGTTGATACAGATACAGCAGTGGTGACAATAGCTGATTGTTAGAGAAAAATCTGATGAGCATGTGTATGCCTGGACTCTGCACAGTTTTGTTCGGGTAGCAGTTGAAGATTATTGTCAAAACAGTTTTACCGGGCAGTTTTTGAGATTTAAGAACAGAAATATCTTCACTAGTACGAAGGGGCTTGTCTCTCTCTAATTGGAGTTTTAGGGAAATACACCTTTTCATTATGAGTATCTATTCTTATAGAAATGCAGCTATAACAATATTATTATTATTATTACCACTTTAATCAAATTGATTTCAAAAAGAAACAGTAATCGAGCTGAAGTGCTTGTGGTAAATGAAAGTTTATACTTGGTTGTTGAGACTGACCATAAAAGTAGAAAGAGAGGATTGAGTGTGAGTAAAGAAGGTCGGCATGAAGTTACTGTCTCATTCATTGGCTCAGCAGCTTCCTCTCTGCTTTCATAGTTTTCTTTCTGCAGGAAGAACCTTTACATTTAAAGCAATGTCTTTTTTTTTCTTCCCCTAATTTGTAATAATTGCTTTGAAAAACTGTACTAAATGGGTACTGATGTAAACTACTCCTTGGCAGTTCCTTCCTTTTTCTGAGAATGAGGAGTGAGTCTATGTGTATGGTAATTCCCTGCAGTATTAGGATGTGCATTATTTTTAGCATTTAGGGAAAGGCTGCCTTGYCCTCGGCAGGAGGATATGAGGGACCGTGATGTGATGATCTGCATGAATCATTATACTGCAGTAAGAACTTCCACATCCTGCTCTGTATGGGTTTCCTGCAAGACAAACGTTGTTTACCTGACTTTGAGATGCTGTCGTGCCTGACATTATCTGTAGAGACCAGAGAGTCTTCACTCCAGAGGTCGTAATATTTGGATTTTGCAGTCTGAGGGAAGATGAAAAACAATTTTTGGCAACTGACTCTTCTGCTTGAAAAATACTATGTAGRCCTCTTTAAACATGTTTATGTATATTTAAAAAAAAAGACTAGCAGATACATGAATAGACATATATCTTATGTATCACATTATATATATTTTTTAAAGGAAGTCTAAATCTTGCCYCCTTGGCTTGCTTCCCCTTTAACTTACTTTTGCCTGTTAACAAGTGCATGGAGACTTTCCAACCTGGATGGGGATTACAGTTGCAGAGGTGCCCTTTGATTTTTATTCATCTAAATATCAGAAAAAGCAGCTCCCTGTGACCTGAATGGGCTCCGTGAAGAAACAGAGGTTTCCCTGGAAGGGGACAGTGCCATTAAAAGAAAGACTTCCGCGAGCTCAAGATGAACGCTCCGGGGCAGGTTACCAGGCAGGGACGGGCAGGAAGCAGGGCTAGTGAGGCCGAATTTCCTGGGAGAAATCCTGGCGTGGGGTGTTTGTAGAGAAGAGCAGGCGCGGGGCCGGGCAGCGGGGCCGGGCAGCGGGGCCGGGCAGCGGGGCCGGGCAGCGGGGCCGGGCAGCGGGGCCGGGCAGCGGGGCCGGGCAGCGG